CATATATTCAAAAACTCAACCAACCTTGCACAGCGATCTTAGAATTGTAGGATGGTTTTGTAAACCACAAGACATACATAGTATCATCCTTTTCTTTTTTTTGGGGGGGGGGGTGTGTGGGAGAGAGAGAGAGAGAGATTCTTGTATGAAATGATATATATGGTGACAAGAGTTGCCAGGGGACCAAAGGCAATCAGCAATATTGACAGCTTGGGCTACAGCACCATGCTCTAGCTATTATCCCTCCAATTATTAGAAGGATTTTATGACATTGGGGCAAAGAGATGGGTGGACACTGAATAAATGATCTCGCACCGAGGACATATTCTGTGTGAGTGTCTCACTCATAATGAGTAAATCTAACATAATGATATATATCGGTGATATCGAAGATTTTCTCAGATATGGCATGAGGCTAAAAGATGAACACCCGACCTACCTACCATGACAACATTGATCAAATCTGTAAGGGAAAAGGATCCTCGCCAGATCTTTTTCCTGAGGATCCTAGGGATCCTGTGATCGTGACTATTCATCGTACATCGTGTGATCATTTTTTGTTAAGTACTATTTATATTTAATTTTAAATTTTAAATTTTGAAATAATTTCTGACCCCATGATGTACGATGAACGGTCATGATTGTAGAATCCTAGGATCTCCGGAAAAGAATCCAAGGAGGATCATTTTCCAATAAGTCCCTCAAATCTACTATAATCAAGTAGTTTAATGTCACTCAAACAAGTATATATTATCAAATCTAGGGTTTAGAGTTCCCTTCTAGACGAGCTAGTAGCCAACCCACATTTACTAGGCTAGAAGACTAAGACAAAACATTTAACTTCATGATCGGAAAGATAATCATGCACTTTTTCAGTTATTTCTTTTCTTAATTTTTTTGTTGATTTATTCAATTCAATCAAAGACACTAAAATTAAAGTGTAAAAATCACTTTCCAACAAAAAAAAAAGAAGGCTTTTGGTTGGAGTAAGTATTGTTTGATGTGACATTTCGAACCGCTTTCCATAGAGCAAAAGACTTTGTCCATCCCAAAACTAGAAAATAAAATTAAAAAATGGCATCCAAGTTTTTTATTTATTTTATATTCCGCGATCGTCCTTTCCTCTGTTCATCCAAAAATTAGAAAAAAAAATAAAAAAATGATAGAGGGGAAATAACAAATTGGAAATACGAAAATCACTTCCTGCAGTGGTGCAGATTATGGTGAAGTGTCCCACATTCCTTGGTAGATAATCCATAAATGGTCCCCTGCGTTCAAGGTTCTAAAAAAATGTTAGGCACTAATTGAGCGACAAGTAGGAGTTTAGTATTTTGGCAGCTGACCTAGACGAATTTATATAAATTTATTATAGATTTTGTAAATAAATGCCTAATTACACTTAAAAAAACTACACTTGTATGAATAATAAAATAATGATAAAATGCAAAAATAAAAGTAGAAGAATACAAAAAGTACATCCATCCAACAAGTTCAATATTTAAAAACAGTAAAGATATAATCATAATGAGGAGTATTCTTAGATAATAGACTAATTTTTTTTTGTTCATGATCATTACATTAGATTTGACATAGACTAAATTATTTAACCTTGTTGTATCTAATTTATTTCTTTTTTTTTTGTATGTATCCCCTCAACAGTGCTCCAATTCATTTCACAATTGGATGAACTTGTAGTCAATCCATTATTTGCAAATTAGGTACATTATTTCCATAATTATACCATCATGAAACTAAAAAAGAAAAAAACATACAATTAATAAAAAAACAAAAACAAAAAACAAAACCGACTAGCTCCAGACCGATTTTTTGAAATGATTTGTCCTAAATTGCAGTGGGCCTTCACCGTCTAAGCGCCTAGGTGCTGTTTAAACCGATTTTTAGAACACTACCTGCCTCCTAAATGTGTTTATGCTTAGGGCGGTTTATATCTTCGTCAACATGCCCAATTTTTGTAGCTTCATTTTCTCCATGTCACATCACTAGTTCTGGTTATGTGCACAATTAAAAGCTTATCCAAATGATAATGTCTAGAAGATATAGGAAATTACAATTATTATTGAAGATTTTAGTTGTGATGAATTTAGTCAAGCATCTGAGTGTCAGTTTAGGAGCCACTCAATCAGAAACCACGATCCTTTTTTCTGATCATGTGGGGGTTTTCAATTTCGTGCTCTGATTTCACGAGATTCGATTCACGTCATGTGCAAGATAATTTTCACAAATTATAAATTTCTCTGTCTATTGCTCTCACCCAACTCTGCACCCGATTCCACTTGATATAGAATCAATGATTAATTAAAAAGGTGCTAACGAACTTTGAGCATTTGATAAAATCTCTTGGTGTAATACTCTGCCTAAAGTTTCTTTGTGATTTAACATGTAATGTTTACCTTTGTTGCCTCTCACTTTATCTCTTCGTGATTAGGCTCAAAGTACAATGCTATAATCTGCTTTCCCCCACCCTATTATGGTTCTTGTCATGATACAATTACAAATCTTAAATGACAGTGATGTATAGTCTAGAAGTGTGAGCTTGTAATTAAGTAAAGAATTAAAGTGATTTGTTCTATATGAAGCGAGGTTGAGTCTAGTCCTACGCCCACAGGACCACCCTATCGATCATAGTGGGTAATAAATGATACGACAAGTCCCCACCCGCGCACCAAAAACAAAAATCTTCCCGAAAGACCCAAAAGAAAAATCTGTGTCCTTATCCGAGGTAGGAACAACCTTGATCGGAAAAAATTATTGTATGTGCATGCTATATGTCCTCTCATACTCTTTGTATGTGTGTGGATCAACAATTAGATACACAAAATAAATGTGATTGTTGTATGGTTGATATTTTCTTATCCGATGTATGAACAACCTTTGATCGGGAAAAATTATTGTATTTGACTGTTATATGTCCTCTCATACTCATAGTATGCGTGTGTGGCTCAACAATTAGATACACAAAATAAATGTGATTGTTGTATGGCTGATATTGTTCATTTGCAATTTGCCACTATCTAGTGACACACTTCTTTGTCAGCTACTGTCCAGAGATATCACTGGCAAGCACCAACTTTTACTTGTCCTAGAGTTGATACTTCATTTTGTTTCAAGGAAAAAGGGGGTGCTACAAAAAGAAGATGACGACGAAGAAGAAACGATATCTTCACCAATATGAAGAATCATAATGAAAAGCTAAAGCACATAAGTTTACCTTATTACAGATGACATTAATAAACAGAAAATGGACTGTAAGTTCAGCTTCATTGTATGTTGTATGCGAATCCCTCTGCATTATAAAACCCGAAAGTTCTAACACTGCAAAGTTCAGCGAGCGGTTTATACTTCACATTCGATGCAAGAAAAGAGCAGAAATACCAAAGCTGAAAAAGGATTCAAGCCAGATTACCAAAATTCTAAGAAAATCAAGACAAAATGCAACATTCAAACAGCAGAGGGCACATGCACAAAGTAGAGGTTTAGAAAGAGAAGCATCTTTGCAAATGATGAAAGTAATGACTGACACGAGTAGGGCATACCAGATTTTGGCCTATCCCAGTACCGAAGCATCTCTACACCACCTTCATCTTGCTTGGGGACCCCTCCTTCGTACCAGTTTCATCAAAGCATCAGTCTAGATCCTTCATATGATAGCCATTCACAGGGGAACACAGATTGATAACCCTATTCCTCGGGGTAGGGGCCTTCACCTCACAGTGGTCACACCCTTAGGAGCAATAAGTATCATAACTTCAGTACAGTTGCCACTTGCAGTACAAACTAGGCTTCTCTTTCACTAGTTCAAAATCGATGATAACTTTGTTCTTACAAATGTTCATACATTCGTTGAGTTTTCCGTTATCCATTGTTCGTTTACACTTTATACAGCAAGTAAAAATGATTACTACCCTTAAGACTACTACACTAACTCGAATGGGAACTTTCATATTTGTGCATTTATGTAAGCTTGAAGATTATTAGCACTAGCAGTAAAAGCGATTAACCATAAAACACCCTGAAAATGAAATGACACGGAGGCGGAATGAGCACCACGACAAGAAATTAATTTGGAAATATAATTCTTAGAATAGGTAAAACTTAGGAACCAATGTATTGAATATTACTCAGTTGAGTTGCTTGTTTCTAGAGTTTATACTATGCCCGACCGGTTGAACCTTCGCTCTGCAAGTTTATTATTTAGAAATCTTGAAGAGCCAAAGTTTCTAACATGTCTTGATGGGGATCACCTACAGTTCAGTTTTTCCTTTCTGGGGTGGGTGGTAGACCCCGTGAGGAAGACGAGCACAGCTTGTTTCGTTGTTCACTCTTTCAAAACATATGCAGGTTAATCTTAGGGTATGATTTTGACCTCTCATTCCTCCATAATAAAGCTACCTAAGGATCGACAGTCTTTATAAAAAAAAAACCTATTAAGACATTCATTTGTGGTGAAAAAAGTGGACGAATACGATTTTGCAAAGAAGTACTAAAATGAATATCATTTGATCCAACACTTACAGGGTTTTCGGAATTGGGGGATTTTTTGTCAACATGATTTTGAAGGAAGACCTAAAAATAGATGAATATATCGTTAAAATACATTATGAAGTGGACCCTACAAAATGAAGATAAGAAAATGTGTCCCCCGATTCTTACCCTTTTATTCATCCAGTGGATGAGAGTATCATTTGATGTTCAAGATGTCAAAATTAGCTACTTTTGTGCCCTGATTTTCTTTTTGCAGCTCCACATTGCGTTTTGCATTTATGCTGCAATTGCTCCTACTAATGGATGTGCAGTTTACAAGGTTCACTAATGGCTGCAGTTACATTCGTTCTTTCGTTTAGGGAGGGAGAAGGCAGAAAAACAAAATGCAGGAGATGCCTTGTTCAAAATCATACTTTTCAGCTTAGCATTGCCTTAGCGGATAAGAATTTCAATACAGTTAAAAAAAAAAAAACTCGAAAAGTTGACTCTGTGTGGTTTGATCATGAAGGTTTCCTTTGAGTTGATGACCCGATGAAGACTCAGACTTGGTTTCTTCATTTCAGATACTTTACTTCATTGGATTTGGGTTGTACGTCTGCGAAACGCTTCTCAGTATCTGGGTTATTCAGGTTCGACGATTAACAAACTTATATTCTTCTCTTGCCCTTAACTTCGCGTTTCTTCCCTCTCTTTGGAGAAACTTATTCTTCGTGTGTCGTATTTGCAGCGAGTATACATGTATTTCTGAAGCAGAGGAAACGCCCACAAGGTGAAGCGTGAGGCTGCAAGATACACCATGATGGCAGCAATTTGAGTTTAACCTTCTGTATTTGATTCTAGTTCTAGAAAACCACTTTTTGTGTTTCTTAATGTTCCTTGAGTGATAGTTCATGATTCTAGTAAGAGGCTTCTTTTGTTAATTGTACACTATCCAGTTTCAAAACACATACACAATCTTTACTCGAAGAGAATTTGCCCTACAACCGAAGGTATACTAACACCAACCTAAGGGTATGATTTTAAACCTTTGCTTTCCTCCAGACTAAAGCTACCTAAGGATTGACAATTTTTACCAACTAGCCCTTGTACTAGTGGTACTTCTCTTCCAAATGTTGAAAGCGGTCCCAAGTTCAATTCCTGCCTCCCTCTTGACCAAAATCTATTCTTTCTATCAATTCCACAATATTCTACTTGAAAAACATGATTATAGGACATCAAATAAAATGCGTTTTTTAGAAATACGATATTTTAGTCCACCTAGTTTTTTGTAAGTGAGAGTTCATGTATGATAACTTGCTCAGTTGCTCTTGAAACATAGGAAAAAAAGTCACACACCTGGGTACTGACACAGAGATCACCAATGCATCCAACATATGCCATGTAGCCGAAGGGAACCAATCAGATTCTTCTGCTCTGTCATCCACTTGGGCCAAAAGACGCTAGAAAACCTCTTTCAAGGGTCTGAAACATTTTATGTCAAAGTTTCTTCAATAAATTGAATGATGTATTATACAAGGATTGCAGAATGAACACCAATTCTACATCTTTGGATGGTAAGCGATATATGATGCCATCTTTGAATTGGCTAAACAAAGTTTCTTAAAACTATATATTTGCTAAGACTTAACTGTCAAAGAGAGTTCGGAACTTCACTCGCCTTTTGACGCTACCCATTCGGTCATACCCAATACCGATCTTACTATGCATCAACTTCATAGCTAAATCTGCATTGCCTGCTTTCCTCAAGGCATTGATTAGAACCGTTCGGATTCGTCCTGGTATTTCCCTACCTCTGTCCACAATTCCATCGGCCAACTTGCAGGCTTCATTGAAACGGCCAGCTTTGCACAGCACATTGATCATATCTTCAAAAGCTGTCTCAGGAATCACACCCATTGGCGCTAGCTCATCCAAAATCTTGCAGGCTCTCGCTACCTTGCCTGAGAGACAAAGCCCAATAGAGAGGGCCCTGAAGGAAGCAACATTCGGTGTGATGCCCTTATCAATCATCGTGTCCCAGAGCTTCAATGCCTCTTCATTTCTGTGCTCCTTAAAAAGTCCGCTGATGAGTATTGTGTATGTATAAACTGTCTGATCACAACCTTCCTCTTCCATTTTCTTAAAGAGTGCTAATGCTTCATCAGCTTTTCCACATTTAGCTAGGGCATCGATAAGGGCATTATAGCAGTATGAATCCTGTGGACATCCCTTCACTACCATCTTTTCAAAGAGCCTTTCAGCCTCATCAAGCCTCCCTGCTTTTCCAAGACCATCGATTAGACTAGAATAAAACATAGCATTAACTGCCATCCCCCTGCCTTCACAAAAGGCAAAGTACTCCATTGCCTCCTCCACTCTCCCACTCTTACACAATCCATTGACGATAACCCCGTAAGTGACCTCATCTGGTTCAAGCCCGTCATTTTTCATCCTCTCGAAAAGCTTCATTGCCTTCTCAATGCTCCCACATTTCACATATGAATTGATCAATGCTGTATAGTTTGCCACATTGGCTTTACATCCCTTCTGAATCATATGTTCAAAAACGGCATATCCTTCCATACATTTCCCACCTTTGCAAAGCCCGTTGATCACTAAACTATACGCATGAGGTGGAATTTCAAGTCCTTTCTCTTCCATTTCTTGGTAAAGACCCAAACACGAATCAACATCTCCTTCTGAATAACACCCCTGTATTAAAGTCATGTAAGTAATCTTATCAGGTTCCACATTCCTCCCCTCCATAGCTCTGAACTTCTCCATTGCTTTCTGGGTTTTCCCTCCCTTACAATACCCTTTAATCATTGTATTATAAGTCACAATGTCCGGTGCAATTTTCCCGACTTCCATAACCTCAAAAACCCGCTCAGCCGATTCAATAAACATCGAATTCACCAAACCATTCAGTAAAAAGTTATAAGTGTACAAACTAGGCTCAATCTCATTCTCCTTCATTCGACGCCAAACCCACAACAGCTCATCAACCATTCCAAGACATCCAAAGCTTTTAATCAATGAATTTGCCGCCGAAGAAGTCATCAAAAAGTTCATTTCTTTAAGCTTAACAAGTACACATCGAATACGGTCCAAATCACGACACACAGATAAAAGTTCAATCAAAGATACATAGCAGTCAAGCTTATGATGATACTTCTTCTGGCTACCAGCCCAAGCAAAGAACCGCAAGGCGGTTTTGGGCTTCCCACGAAGCTCATAAGATTTCAACACATACGAAACAAAATTAGGAGACAATTTGATCAAGAATGTGCGACAGTAAGAGTCTAAATTGGCCTCCATCGTAGGGGACCCATCTAAAAGATTCACAATTTGAGCGACCCACGGAGATGGGTCAAAATTTTGTGTGTTCGATACTACATCAGAGACGTCATTGAAAGGTTCTACCCATTCGGGAGGAGGGAGAGAGTTGGTGAAAACCCACCTGGAATTTGAGCTGAAACTTGACGTACAGTGAGAATTTGAAGCTTTCGACGAAGACCCTCCATGGATGTACGGACGGGGAGGTCTTGGAGGAAGAATACGGGCTGCTGAAAGTGATAGGGGGGCTCTCAGTAGGGTTCTTCTCATCAGGGTTTTGGGTGTTCTGTTCGCCTGTGTGCTCAGTCAGTCGAGCTGAAATCCTGAAACGGTGAAATGGTTTATGAAGATTTTGTTTTTTTGGGTCATATTTTTTATTGGGCTTTTTGGTTATCCATTTATTTTCAAACTTGTACTATTCATAAAGCCCAATTGGCAACATTGCCGGGTTTTGTTTCTTGTTGTTTATAACATTCCAAATTGATCATCACAAACAAAACTAACTGAACAAGAAAAGAGATTATCAAGTAAAAGTTGTCTACATCTCAATCAAGACTATAATTTGCTAAACCATTTGCCACAAAACTCTTTTCTCTATAAACATGCTGAAGATCGCATTGCCAAGATCTTTAAAGCAGTGGTTGGTTTGATATAAATTGGGGTGGAATTAAATCCTCATTGGTTTTAGGAGTGAAAATTATAATTCCACACACACATCACATTCTTCCTGCCGCGCATTAGAAGATCTAGCGACACTTCTCTCTATCTCTATTGTGTAGTTTAGTTCCCTTTATTGTTCATCATACTGTTGCGTATGAGGTCGAGAATTTAATCTTTAATTGTTTGATTACGCAGGTACTAGGACTACTGAGAGATGTCGAGGAACAAGAGAATAATGCAGTGGACTACGGAGAAGCTGCAATGCAAGAGAATGATGCAATCCACTGCCAAGATGCCGAGGAGAACAAAGAGAATGATCAGTCAACTCACTGCTACGGAGATGCCTAGTACCAAGAGGATGAGGCAGTACAAGAGCACAACGCAGTTGATGGACCTCCCCTGAGACATCCTCCTCTCGAGACTCCCCACAAAATTACTCGTTTCTTGCCGTTGTGTTGTAAAACCTTGGGTAGCCTAGTCGTCTGCCCGTGTCTTGCTAACATGTATTCACAATATATTGCGATGAAAAACTTGAGCCGCATCCTCGGATCATGGTTCTTACCAGGTCTAAGTTAATCACCTTACCGGTGAAATTTGGTGGTAGAGCCAAGAATGAACTTGCGTTGACATTCCGACCTTCATTGGAGCTCGCCAATGCAATCTCAAGTTTTCTTCTTACGGCTTGCTTTGCCTGAAGAACGAGCCAACATCCTTAGAAGGAGGTGGTCAAGCCTTCCTAGTAAATCCTTTAAAAGAAGTTCTAAAGCTCCCACCAAGTAAATTTGACGAAGCTCCAAACTGCACGTACGACTGGTATGGTATGGGATACGATGCCAGTTCTTGCTCCCACAAGATTGTACGTGTATCTAGACCCAAATTTATGTTTTGGGCTCATCGTCAATCATCATGGCGACAAATGTCAATATGCTCAGCTCCTCCTCTTTTTTTCAAGTGAGAGCGGAGACAAATATCATTATGCACAGCTCCTTCTTTTAGGAAAGGTGCGTGCCTACATATGGAAACACACATCATGAAAGTGAGACTAACCTGTAAGTCGATATGCACGTTATTTTAAAAATAAAAAATCACGTAATTCAAGAAAATCTAAATGCAAAGAAGCAGGAATCGCCAACGGAGGTAAGTCATGCTACACTAAGGTTGAGGAAGACAAGTCATGTTATCAAAGCTGTCCACAACAACATTCTCACCCAGTACTTGTGAGAGTAATGAAAAGTCATGTTCTTCATGCGAACCAGACAAGTAAATCATTTTGTACGAAGAGGCAAGGAGAGACAAAGTCTTCCGAGCGAATACAAGTAATAAAACTAGAAGAATCTCTTTTCAACCAAACACATACCAACCACGCTGATAAGAAAACTCAGTATAAAAAATAACTGCTATTAATTCTGCCAAAAAAATTGTGACGACTATTACCTTGAGGAAACTACCAAAAAAGACCATGTCCATCCCTAAAAACTCCCCCACAAGCAATAAGACCAAGATTCCTTTTAGCTAAGGCATTAGTATTAAGCTTAAGCCAATTAAGGATATTGGAGTGGAGACCAAAGCACATGACGAATAATGTGAACCTTACGAGGGATGAGTTGAATACCTAAAGAATAAATGATACGATCTTCCAAACATTTTTTTTATCAGAAGATTTAATTGACATTCAGAGACGATGTAAAGAAACTGGGCGATCCTCGAAACTAAACTTATTGAGTCCTTTCTAAATAGTAGTAACAATAAAAAAAATCCCACAAAAATGAAGATGACAATGGAAAATAGAAAAACTAGTTCTGAGACAAATAACAATCCACATATGTTGAATATTTTCTTAAATACTGAGTTGAATTTCTATGACAACACACGTGTCTCTTATATTTACAAGAGAGATTGAAGAAAAATGTGATTCTATTTAACAGTGTAATAGGGCATTTTTATGTTTGTATCCAATGAACAGTCTTTATAAGTAGTATTTTTTCTAGTAGTGACCAAGGCTCCAAAT